TTTCCCATCTTTCTTCTGTGGATCAGCTGGTGGGTTCAGACTACTGACCTTTTGATTATCACCCAAATGCCTTAACCAGTACACCACTAGAGCTCAGTCTAGTTTAATTCTGACTACATCCTCTCTGCCTTTTCTCCTTCCATCCATATGAGAGGCTCTGCCCTCTATCATCTCTACAGTCACACACTTCTCTGGTCTGATCCCAGCTACTCCCACACCTTGGGACCCTTGCTGGAGATTTCCAGCCAACCTCTCTCCTAAGCTGTGGCCCCACATCATCCTTTCTCTACTAACCTGTCCCATGTCAAGATGGTGCAGGTGTTTAAGACTCAGTATGTTGAAGGCTGAAGTCATTTCCTCCTCTCCACAAGTTAAGGTTTCCAATGTCTTGCCTTCATTTATCCTCCAGGACTTAAACTTTGGGATGGTACTAGATTCTTTTCACTCACTTATCGCCCCATCTGGTCAGTTCCCAATTCCAGCCCTTCAGTGAGTCTCCCTTGACTCTCTTCCAATTCTTTCTCACCACCCCCAGCCAGTGCCATTTTTTAACTTTCCGGGAGTGTTTGAGCAGTATCTCAAGTTGGGCCACTGCTTGGTGTTTCTTTAGTCTATCCTTCCCACATTTCTAGCTTGCTTTTCCTAATGCTCAAAAGTCGACCACAGCTCCCTAGTTTTTCTTTCTTTCTTTCTTTCTTTTTAAATTGTGATCTGGGTAAAAGTTTACAGAGCAAATTCACTTTACATACAGCAGCTCACATATACTTTGTCTCATGACATTGACTACAATTTCCAACAATGCAACAGCTCTGCTCCCACTTCCTCCCCTGTGTTAGACTGGGTTCTCTAGAGAAACAAAAACCAGTAAAGCTTATATATAGAGAGAGAAAGGATGGGGGAGGGGAAGAGGGAGAGGGGAGAGGGAGAGGGAGATTGAGAGAGAGAGAGAGAGAGAGAGAGAGAGAGAGAGAAATTTATCTTAGGAAAATGGCTCACACACTTATAGAAGCTGGCAAGTCCAAAGTTCCTGGATCAAACATTAAGCTAGAGGCTTGTCCTGACTCTTGCAATCACAGGGGCTGAGGAGCTCAAGGCTGGCAGGCAGTACACTGGCTGTTGACTCCAACGAATGATGAATCCAAGATCTCCAGGCCGAATGGTGGACTGTTCACTCACGGACAGTTGTAGGCAGCACAACAGAATCCAGATCCACAGAAGAATGTCTCTCTTCCCAGGATGTCCTTGGATATACTGGAACCAGGCCACACCCCTAGGGAAACTCCCTTGCAACAGATTGGCCACTCAGAACATAGTCATCTGATCCCATCATGGAAACAACCACACAGAATTGTGGTCCAGCCAAGTTGACACACAGCTCCAACTATCACATCCCCATAGTTACTTCTTCCCTGTGTCCTTCCCTCTATGCACTCCTGCCCCACCCTGAGTTGTCTCCTTATGCATACACAGCCCTTCTATTCTCCTATGATTGTTCTCTCCAAGGAGTGTATCTACTTAATGTAATTGTTCACCTTATATACTTGTCTTTTGTTTGGATGGAAGCCACAGGAGTGGGTTCAATTCCAGACCTGAAGGGCAGCTGGGGGCCATAGTCTAAGGGGTTCCATTAGTTTCCATCAGACTAGCAAACCTGGCTCCCCACTTTTTTTTTTATTTAATGATTTTGAGTTTTGTTCCATATTGTTCTGCTCTATCCAGGATCTCCTACGTAGATCCCCCTCCAAGTGGTTGACAGTGCTAGCTGGGCACCACAGTCTAGTTCTTCTGGTCTCATAGTTGTAGAGGCTTCAGATCAGATGGTGTACCAGTCGCTAGGACTAATTGTTTCCATGAATTTTGGTTTTCTTCATTCTTCTTTGCTCTGGACAAGGAGAGACCCATTGTTGCATCCAGATGGCCACTTGCAAGCTTTTAAGATCCCAGTTGCTACTCGCCAAAGTAGGAGTTGGAGCAATGTTTTGTGTAGTATGTTATGCCAATTGAGTTTGATGTCCCCAGCGACTATGGTCCTGACCCCACCGGTTCAACTACTCTGGGTAGCTGGCTGTGGCCAAGAAGTGACTACAGCCTTGTCTCTTGTCAGCTCTACTATGCACCTGGGAATTTAGATCAAATACAATTATAGGACCATTGTCTGCCAACCCTATACATGTTCTTGGGTATACTCCCTGCTTCATAGACATACCTGCTAGTTCAGCCTGTCCACCCATCTATCCACCCATATACCCATGTTTGCTTTCACTGACAACACAGTACTGTATGTGCAAAAAGGTTCATCTTTGTTCTCTGTACCTCCTATGTACCTCTCTCTGTCTTCCTCTTCCTTAATGCCACCGTGTTGATCACTCACATTTGGTACATTGCCCTTCTCTTCACCCAAATCAATACTTGTCTCTACCTATCCAACAGTGTTTTCTCCCTTCCGCTCCCACCCCTGGTAACCAACAAGGAAAATATCCTTCCATTTAAAACCTTTCCTTGACTTTTTACAATAACAGACTAATACAATATTTGTCCTTATTTGATTGACTTATTTCACTCAGCATCATGTCCTCCAAGTTCATCCACGTTATGCGGTGTTTTGCGGATTCTAGGTTATTCTTTAGGGTTGCATAGTATTCCATTGTGTGTATATACCATAGTTTGGTTATTCATTCTTCTGTGATGGGCACCTAGGTTGTTTCCATCTCTTGGCTATTATAAATAGTTCTGTGATGAACATGGGTGTGCATGTGTCTGTTCTTGTCATGGCTCTCACTTCTTTAATATACCTAGTAATAGTAATGGAATGGCTAGGTCAAATGGTATTTCTAATTCTAACTTTTTAAGGAATTGCCATGCTGCTTTCCATAGTGGTAGTATCATTTTACAGTCCCACCAGCATTGTATGAGAGTCCCAATCTCTCCACATCTTTGCCAGCATTTGTTATTTTCTGTCTTGTTGAACTTTGCTACTAGTGCCGGGGCAAGATGGTATCTCATTGTTGCTTTGATTTGCATCTCTCTAATGGCTAATGATCGTGAGCATTTCTTCATATGTTTGTTGGCTGCCTGAATATCCTCTTTGGTGAAGTGTCTATTCGTGTCTTCTGCCCGTTTTTCAATTGGATTGTTGTCTTTTTGTTGTTGAGGTGTTGGAGTTTTCTATAAATTCTAGAGATAAGTCCTTTGTCAGATATGTCATTGC